CTGCAACGCTTCTTATCCCTCAGGAAGGACGATCTAGCAGGGGGAACGCTGGAATTCCTCGCTGGCGAGTACAGCGCCCGGAGCAGCAACGACGCCGGAGATCATTTCCCCGCCGCTGCCTGGCACAAGCGCCCTCCAGCCTCGGGCGGCCACACCATCGGTGATGACCTCAGCCAGCAGCCCCCAGGGGCCACAGAAGCGACGAAGGAGATAAAGGAGGAACCGTCCCCGGATAGGGAATCCCACGGTAACGGCGATAATCCGTTCGAGGCAGACTGGGATGAGGACAATCCAGAGAGGACGGTCCCCATGATCCACAGCCCCCCGCAGCAGGACGAGGAAGCCGAAATCAGCGGCCCCAGCGGCAGAGACGGCTCCCTCAAGCGGACAGTGCTGTGGACAGTCCCCCTGACAAAGAGGGAACTGCCAATTGGACGCCTTACGCCACGGCCCGCTTCCGAGAGGACATGGAAGAAATCCGTGACAAAACAGCTGACCGAATGAAACTACGAGGGAAAGGGAGCAGGCCAGACTGCAGTCAGGAGTCTATCCAGGAGCTCGCAGCCCCAGCGCACGAGACCCGCCAGGCGCCCAGCCCCCGGCAGGACAGCAGCCCAGAGAGACGGCCGCGCCCACAGGCTGAGCCACTCCCACCTCCACATCAAAACGACCCCCTAGGAGGGCTCCCCATGTACATGAGGTCCATCGACGAGGCCGACATCCAGAGGGACGCGCCAGCCCAAGAGAAAATCACCAGATTACAGAAGGCACTCGGAGGCACATTCAACGGGGCGTGGATAGGATGGGTTCGCAGAGGGTCCGCCGTGGGTCGACATCCACTCGGACCCCAGGAGGAACACAAGGGAGAGGTGCGAAGAATTCCTGTGGGCGTGGGAAGCCGCGGGTTACGACGCCTACAAGTTGGTGAGACACCACCATGTCCGTGTTGAGTGACAAAAGGTCGCTGAGAAATATCGTAGCCTACTGCATCGCAGCGCAAGGGCCAGCGCATCCAAGGGGCAAGACAGCAAGGGCAATCCATACCCTTGGTCCGAGAGAAGGACGGTGCCCACCCCCCCTGACCCACCCGGCAGGGCAAGTCACCACGAGCAGACCCAACCCTCCAGCGCATACAGCGGGGCTGCGCAGCAGCACCCATGGAGCAGGCCCAGAGACGGCACAGCCGCCCCGCCAGCGTACACCGACAGGGAGACCACCTGGTCGGGAGCATCCAGCTCTGGAGCCCCATGGCGCCCAAGGCCGCGATGGGAAGGGTGGGGCCACCAGGATAGCTCTTGGAGGGGGGCTTCGTGGGGGAACAGGGAGAAAAGGACCGCCCCGAAAAGTGACGAGCAATGCGCCGACAAGCGACAGCGAGGATGGGAGCTCGCGCGCTGGTAGACCGGCAGAGGGCCTGGCAGGGGCCCCCCGACTAGGGCGAGGCCGGCCCTACAAAAGCCGCCGAAACGTACGGCGCCAGGCTGCCAGGACAACGCGTGACCCCCCTTCCGCAGAAGATTTGCCGCGCACGTGTGCCGTGGGACTTCCCTACGACGTTCCCACCCCAGACGATGTCCTGCGGCTCAGGCCGCTCGCCCTGACCTTTCGCCACACTCTCCAGTTCCGCGGCTATCGGCTGCAGTTCCCCTTTCCTCGTCGCCACGTGCGGTCTGTCATTCCGCGGCTATCGGCTGCTGACCCCCGTTGTCGTCCCATTGCTTCTACACTCATGCCTGCGGCTATCGGCTGCTAACCCCCCTTTCTCGTCGCCACAGGGTGCGATTTCCGAAGGAGGATGAGTTGCTGTGGGCCCCAGGGCCACTGGGTCACCACCAGGCGGCCGCACCTGTCGGCAGACAGCGACAGGTCATGTTTCACCGATGCAATGGGCCACTGGGGCGGACTGTTGTTACCTCCTGGGGTTGAGGTACCCCCCCACCACCGCGATAGTTCCTGCGTTTTCGTGGGCCTTTAGCCCGTTCGGCCGGCTGAAATAATCCCGCCGTCGGTTTGGCCGCAGCGGCGGCCCGTGGTGCTCCGAGAGGGCTCGCTCAAGGCGCTTCGCCCGCTCTCGGCATGCTACACTCATTCATGTTGCCCGCGACGTATGGGGGCCGGGACGCACCGGACGCTGGCCTCAGCCACTCCGGGTGCCCATCTTTTGGAGTCGGCAACATGCAGTGGCTTCCACTTCGTCGCCCGTAGGGACGGCGACTTCTGACCCCCCTTTCACATGGGCGTGTTGACAGTACGGTCGGCCGCTTGTCGGCATCGGCGGACACGCACGTCGGTCAAGGCACCGTTCTGGCGCTTGTGTTGGACGTTGGCTACAGCCACAGGAGAGCCTTCGGGGTGCGCAAGCCGCGCACCGCCTTGGTACCAGAGGCCATCGCGGGCGCTCTCCTTTGTGGTCGGCCTTCTCCAGGCATTGACCCGAACCCCCTCAGCGGCGTACAGTCTGGCCCACGTTCCAAGTGAGTGAGTAGTTTTGGCACGTTCCGCCTGGCAGTCTGGCCCCACCTGCGGGTCCGACCTTTCCGCCCTCCCCACTTTCGCTGGCATGCGCTCAGCGGCTTCTGGGTCCGCATGGTGGCGCCAGGGCTTCAGCTGGTATCTTCTCAGCTGCATCCTTTGCTGGCACATGTCCAGCGTTGTTAATTTTCTGCTGCTGGCACATGCTCAGCTGCTTTTGGTAGTCGCGTGGTGGCGCCCAGGCTTCTGCTGGCGCCTTCGCGGTTGCCTTCTCGGCCGGCCCTTGTGTTGCGCCGTTGATTATTTGCTTTCCCGTGCGCTGTGCCCCAGCCTCGTTCCCGCCGCCCTCTGGACTTTTCCTTGCGGGCCGCGAATCAAAAAAGTATCCCCGCCAGCTTACTATCCGCTCTCTGGAATCGTCCTTGTAGCCGCAGATAAAAAAACAAATCCCCACCAGCCCATTCAGAAACGTTGACCATGAGAGGTGATGGGAAACGGGAAGAATAGACACAGATAGCGAAACGAAGCGGGCAAGGTGGTGGCCATGGAGGGCCTCTTCGGACCATCTCTTGGGCCCGCGTGGGGACGAGGGAAGGAGGAGGAGGATGAGGAGGAGGAGGAGGAGGGGGAGGACGACGACGACGACGACGAAGACGAGGAAGAGGAGGAACAGGAAACGGGAGACGAGGAAATCAAGGACCATGACGAGGAGGAGGAGAAGAACGAGGAGGAGGACAACGAGGACGAGGACAGAGCCCTCAAAATCGCCTCTTGGAGCCCTCTTGGGACACTATCGGGGGATCTTGGGGTTCTCTTGAGGCTTTTTTGGAGTGTCTTGGGGCCCTCTTGGGTCCCGCTTGGGGGCGTCTTGGAAGCCCTGGAGGGCCTATCGTGGAGGGCGTCGGTGAAAAGAGAGGGGTCCCAACGTATGCCCCGCCCCCGCCTCTCTAGGACCAAATCGCCTCTTGGGGCGGCCCTCTGGGGGCGCTCGTGGGGTGATCTTGGGCGCTCTTGGAGCCGTTTTGGGGTCCTCTTGGGGCCATCTTGGGGTTCTCTTGGGCCCAGGGGCCATCTTGAGGCATCAGACGCGCATCAGAAGCGAAAAGGCGAAGGTAACAATTCATGGATTGCTCACATTCTTTTGAAGGATTGTGGCCTCTTGGCCGGGTCCTGAGGGCGCCTCGAGAGTACTTGGAGCCATATTGTGGCCCTCGCCGGGCTTCTTGGAGGTATGTCGGAAGCTGTCTTGAAACATTGTCGGCTATCTGGAGCCACTGTGGAGGCCATCTTGGAGCATCGGATGCCCTCTTGGAGCCATCTCGGGCGCCCTGACCGAACGCGGTCCGCCCCAAAAAACGTCAAAGCGGGGAGGGGGAGGGTGCCACTCCCCGAAGGGAAGAGGGTTTTGGGATGAGGAAGAGACCACCTTCTCCCACAGGGCTGAAGTGTGTGTGTGTGTGTGTGTGTTTGTTGTGTGCTCGTGTGTGTGTGTGTGTGGTGTGTGTGTGTGTTTGTGTGTGTTGGTGTGTGTGTGCTGTTGGTGTTGGTGTTGGTGTTGGTGTTGGTGTTGGTGTGTGTTGGTGTATGTTGGTGTGTGTGTGTGTGTTAGTGTGTGTGTGTGTTGGTGTGTGTGTTGTGTGGTGTGTGTGTGTGTGTGTGTTGGTGTGTGTTGGTGTGTTGCTGTGTGTTGGTGTGTGTGTGTGTCTGTGTGTGTGTGTCTGTGTGTATGTGTGTGTGTCTGTGTGTGCGTCTGTGTTGTGTGTGTTGGGTGTTGTGTGCTGTGTGCTGTGTGGTGTGTTCCGTTGTGTTGTGTTGTGTTGTGTTGTGTTGTGTTGTGTTGTGTTGTGTTGTGTTGTGTTGTGTGTTGTGTGTTGTGTGTTGTGTGTTGTGTGTTGTGTGTTGTGTGTTGTGTGTTGTGTGTTGTGTGTGTGTGTTGTGTATTGTGGGTTGGGATAAGTTGTGTTGTGTTGTGTTGTGTTGTGTTGTGTTGTGTTGTGTTATGTTATGCTATGCTGTGTTGTGTTGTGTTGTGTTGTGTTGTGTTGTGTTGTGTTGTGTTGTGTTGTGTTGTGTTGGTGTGTGTGTGTGTGTGTGTGTGGGGCGTGCCATGCTTTCAGCTCTCGAGCCTCGCGAGGCCTTCTCCCGGCGGCTCCTGGCGGGCCGCATGAGGCCCTCGAGCCCCGGAGCGCCTTCCAGCAGCAGCCTCGCCTCCCCGCAGGCGGCTCTCGGCTGGCCCTGCAGCTGCCCCCTCTCATCATCCAGCTCCCCCTCGCGGGCTCCTCCAACTCCAGCTCCACCCCCCCCCTGCTCCCCCTCTCCTCCCTTTTCTCTCCTCCCTCCTCCCACGCCCCCTCCTGCTCCTTCTTCTTCTTCCTCCTGCTTTTCTCCTGTTCCTCCCCCTCCTCCCCCTCCCCCTCCTCCTCCTCCTCCTCCTCCTCCTCCTCCTCCTCCTCCTCCTCCTCCTCCTCCTCCTCCACGTCTTCTCCTCTCCGCCCTCTCTTCTCCTGTCTCCGCCGCTCCCCGGCGAGGACCTGGACCACGTCCGAATCAAGGGGCAGCCCATCCACCAGGCGCTCCCCCGCGACGAGGACAAGAGGTCGTCGGGGTGGAAAGCTGTGATTCTCCAGGGAGGTGGGCCAGGAGAGCTGCGCTTCCCTTTCGATGCGATGCGATGCGACCCGCGCTCCGGCCCCTCACGGGGCGGTCCTCTCAGAGGGCAGGCGTGTGGGACACGCAGTTTAGGCAACCGGGTGCACTGGGAAATGCTTCGCGTCAGTGTGGAAAACAACACAGAGGGAAAGAGATGCTCTTCTCCTTCGGGATCAGTAGAGGGCCTGATCAGCGTTCGCGTCGGCAGAGCCCCTTCAGATGATGCCTGGGCGGCCCGAGTACTCACCCGATTGGTTGTGGCCCTGGGGGGGGGTAGTTCTACGGCTGTTTGGGCAGGCCAGTGCTCGGGCGGCCCAGGCGGCACCCAAGCAGCTCTCCAGCGGCCCAGCGATGGCCTGGCTGCTCTGCTGCTCTCTGCTCGGGGGGGGCGAGGCTGCGCTCTGGAGCCCGACGTTCTCCGTCCTCGACGTCGCCGACGCATCGGCGGTGCGCTGCGATCCTCCGACCCCGTCTGTTCTGGCCTCGTTCTGGCGGCCTCCACATGTCGCCGTGAAAGAAGAGGGTCCTGGACTCGGAGCCTTGCCTCCAGGCCCAGGGCCAGTTCTTCGTCTTGTGTCGTCCTCTTTCGGTCCCAGGGCCCCCGAGGTGGCGAAAAACCCCCAGGACCCCTGGAGGGTGGGGGAGGAGAGGGAGGGGGGATGGAGGAGGCGGAGGAGGAGGAGGAGGCGAGGGAGGAGGAGGAGGCGAGGGAGGGGGAGGAGGGGTAACGTGCGAAGGGGGAGGAGGAGGAGGAGGAGGAGGAGGAGGAGGAGGAGGAGGAGGAGGAGGAGGAGGAGGAGGAGGAGGAGCCAGGACCAACAACACTCATCAACGATGTTGGAATACACCCTCCCTCCAAGCTCCCTCATATGCTCCTACAAGGGCCTATTTCCGCTGAGGGAAGTGCCCCGTTGGGGGACAACCGTGTGAAAATCCAGAAGCGTGCCAAAACACAGTTCTCAGGACTTCGCCACAAGTCAACCGGATTGTTGCGTCTGGACGATCCCGAATCGTGCCAGACCACCACTCCTGCGACTTCAACACCGCGAATCAACGTAACTGTTGTGCCTTGACAGTCCTGAATCGCTCCAAAGCATCGTTTCTTGTTCGTCAGCCATAAATTCATATGTTTTTTGAAACGAATGTGCTCGGCGCTAAGGCGAGAGCCACATTTTCAAAACGGACCGCCCTCAATTCGTGAAACTCCGATAACTTGTTTTTAACAGATGTGCGCAGCGCTAAGGCGAGAGTGACATTTTGAAAGCCACTCGCCAACAATCCGTGAAGCTCCTGGCAATCCTTTGAAACGAATGTGCGCTGCGCTAGAGCGAGAGCCACATTTTGAAATGGAACCTCCCTCAATCCGTGAAACTTGTGCGATTTCTTCAAATGAGTGCGCGTGGCGCTAAGACGGGAGCCACATGTTTGGAAGCGACCCGCCTTCCATCTGTGAGCTTGTCGTCAGCTCTTCAGCTTCAGCCTCGTGAGTGGTACGGACGACGTCTCAGGCGACACGCCCTGGCCCGCCCTTCCGACCCGCCCTGGGCTGTGACAGGGCAAGGCCATCTAGAAAAAAGAGGAATGGAGGAGGAGTCCAGGACTCGCTTCCTTCGTGCCAGATGCGAGCTCCGAGGTGGCTGCGCGAGCAGTTCCCGCACGAGTTCCGGGAGAGGAGCGCGAGCGTCGCGGAGGCCTCCTGCCCTCGCGCGCCATGTCCCGACCCGCGACATGCGGCGCCATTTCGCCTCCTCCTTCCCTCCCTCCCTCCTCCTCCCTCCCTCCTCCCTTCCTCCCTCCACCTCCTCCCTCCTTCTCCCTCCCTCCTCCCTTCCTCCCTCCACCTTCCCTCCCTCCCTTCTCCCTCCCTCCCTCCCTCCCTTCCTCCCTCCTCCTCCTCCTCCTCCTCCTCCTCCTCCTCCTCCTCCTCCTCCTCCTCCTCCTCCCTCTGTAGGCAGTGGGCGGGTCGCTCTCTGGCCATCGGAGGGCATCCGCGCGCTTCGGTGTTTCATCGTGCGCTGAGGCCTTCGAGGTCCAGTGTACCATCGGCTTCCTGCCTCCAGTGGTGGCGGCGGCCAGAAGCTGAGTCATGGATTCGTTCGTGGACTTGCGGAGGTGCCGGCGGGCGGCCATGGCTCCCAGCCAGCAGGCAGCCTGCTCTGGAAGGAGACCTTGGGGCGCTTGGGGCGAGAGGAGGAGGGGGAGGAAGGAGGGTGAGGAGGAGGAGGAGGAGGAGGAGGAGGAGGAGGAGGAGGAGGAGGAGGACCAGTGTTGTCAACGATGCTGGAATAAACCCTCCCTCCAAGCTCCCTCTTCACAGGCCCCTCCGACAAACAGTTTATTTCCATTGAGGGAACTGCCTCGTTGGAAGACAGCCGTTTCAAGATCCAGAAGCATGCCAAAACAATGTTCTCGGGATTTCAACGCCACGGATCAACCTGACTGCTGCGTCTTGACGATCTGGAATCGTGCCAGAACGCCATGTTGGGGACTTCAGCACCGCGGATCAACATAATTGTTGCAACCGCATAGTCCTGAATCGTTCCAAAGACCATTTCTGGTACGTTGATCATGAAAGTCCGCGAACATCTTGCACAAAAAATGATGTGCGCGGCGCTAAGGCGAGAGCCACATTTTCAAAAGGAACCGCCCTCAATCCGTGAAACCCTTGCAAATGTTTAGAACGAATGTGCGCGGCGGCGCTCAGGCGAGAGCCACATTTTGAAAACCACCCTCCCTCAATCCGTGAAGCTCTTATGCAAAGTTTGGAAACGAATGTGCGCGGCGCTAAGGCGAGAACCACAGTTTGAAACTACCCGCCCTCCATCTGTGAAATTGTTGTCTCTGTTTAAGCTTCAGAGTCATACATGGTGAGGAAGTCTGAGGCGAAACGCCCGGCCCTTAACACTTGCCGCGGGGTACGACAGGGAGACGTTAATTATAAGGAAAAGGAATGGAGGAGGAGCAGGAGGAGGAGGAAGAGGAGGGGGAGGAAGGAGGAGGAGGAGGAGGAGGAGGAGGAGGAGGAAGAAGGCACAGAAGAAACAGGAGGTCGAGGAGGAGGAGGAGGAGGAGGAGGAGGAGGAGGAGGAGGGTGAGAAGGGATCGTAGGAGTGGCGGAGGAGGAGCGGGTGGAAGAGATAGTGCGCTCGTGAACCCAGAGCTTTTGCTCGGAGGCAGCTGGCTCTTCGGCCCTCTCCCCTTCCGAGACCCGAGTCTTGGCCGAACGCCCAGCTGCCATTGCTGCCATATTCAAGCAGCATGACGCATCATTAAGATGATACTGATGCAGATGCAGATGCTGATGCAGATGATGCTGGTGACGCTGATTCTGCGGATGCTGCTGCTGCTGCTGCTGCTGCAGCTTTTGCAGCTGCTGCAGCTGCTGCTACTGCTGCTGACGACGACGACGATGACGACGGTCTATGACGGTCTCTGACGGTGCCGCATTGTAAGCCGCGCGGCCGACGCGCGGCGGGCACAACGCGCGCGCGATGCGCGCGGGGCGCCTGGCAAGGCCGAGCGGACTGGCCCCACCAGCTCCACGCCTCACACCGAGGCCCCAGGACGCGGCACTGGCAGCACAGGCCACCCCTCACCGCACCCCCGGCTGCCCCGCCTCGCTGGGCAACCCTTCGTCCTCGGCGAGCTTCTTTGCCCACTTGCCCTCCTTCACCGCCGCCGCGCCCAGCCGGCTCTTGAGCTGGGACCGCTTCCAATTGACGCCGTCCTGCATCCCCTTGCCCTTCAGCTGTCTCCCGGCCTCCTGCTTGGCAGCTTCGATGATGTCCTGCACCTCGCTGCTGGCCCCGCAATTGTCATCGTCGATGGTGCTCTCCTGCTCCTCATGCCCGAAGCCGAGGCAGAACTCCATCACCGCCACTTTCAGCTCCTGGTCAGCCTCGTGCCATTCATCGGCAGCCTCGCTCACGTCCCGCTCGAGCTCCTGCAGGTGGCGGGTCACCTCGGCAATCCTGTCCTTGAAGAACGTATTTGTTTCGCATGCTGAGTTTTTTGTCGTTGCATCATGCAAGACGACCCAAGAGGCCCCTAAGATTGCTTCAAGACGGCCCAAGAGGCCCCTGGTACGGCCACAAGACAGCCAAAGAGGGGTTCAAGACGGCCCCAGAGGCGCGCAAAACGGCCCAACAACGCCCCAAGTGGGCCCCAACAGGGGCCCAAGAGGGGGAATTCGAACTCTAGATTCGAGCTGCTCGCCCCAAGAGGATCCCCAAGACCCCCAGGAGGCTTCCAAGAGGCCCCCAAGAGACCAAAATATGCCCTCCGCCGCGTCTTCATGGCGCCACACGCGCGGAGCCGAGTCCGAGTCCGAGTGCGAGTCCCCTCCTGACTCCTGAGCAGGGGCCGCCGCCAGCGGCGGCGAGTGCGCATCCGCCGCACGCGCCGCCCGCGCACCGCGCGCTGCCGCAGCCGCCCGCCGCCCCAGCCAGCCGCGCCAGCACCGCTGCACCACTCCGGCAGCGAGGGCTTGTGCAGCGTCCGCCCGCCGCACGGCCTCGGCCGAGGCCCAAGCCTCCGCCGAGCGTACCGCCATCTCCTGCGCCGCCTCCCAGCGCGCCGCCCGTTTGCCCTTGCCCCGCAGGAGCTGCCAGTCGTCGCCATCCTTGAGCTCTTGCGCTCCTCCGCACGACCTTCACCAGCCGCTCCTGCAGCTGGTTCTGGGCCGCCGCTTTGCTCTCAGTCTTCTTGACCCCCAAGGCCTTCGGCAGCCGATCCGCGGCACCGCGCCGCGCACCATGTGCGCCGCCCTCGCGGGGCACGACCGCCTCCTGTACATCCTCCGCGCGGCCGTCCTCGGGCTTCAGCTTCCCGACCTCGCTGCCGTCGAAGTCGTTCGCGATCTCCTGATTCGGCTGCCCTGCGCCCCGCAGCAAGCGGAGCAGTTCCTTCCCTTGCTGGGCCCCCATCGCGCCGTCCAGACTCCCCAAGGTAGCGCCCACGAGAGCCGCAGCAATCCCATCCGCCCATTGGTGCAGCACCACTCCGATGACCGGCGGCTGCACCCAGACAGCCGCGCCGCAGCCGCACCAGCAGCCTCCGCCAGGGAGGTCCGCCGCCTCCGCCATGCCGCCGCTCTTCACCACCAGCTACGACAGCGGCCCTACATCACGCCCTGCCGTAGGCACTAGCCCCAGCGCGAGCAACCCATGCTGGGCCCTCGAGCCGGAACGACGACGATGAGGAGGAGGAGGACAACGATAATGACGATGACGATAATTGACGATGATGATGATGATGACGACGAGGATGATGATGATGATGATGATGATGATGATGATGATGATGATGATGATGATGATGATGATCATGATGATGATGCTGATGCTCATGGTGATGATGATGCTGATGATGCTGATGATGATGATGAGGGCGATGGTGATGATGATGATGATCACGATTATGCTGATGATGATGCTGGTAATGCTGATGCTGATGGTGATGATGGTGATGGCGATGGTTACGATGATGGTGATGGTGATGGTGGTGCTGCTGATGATGCTGATACTGGTGTTGCTGATGCTGCTGCTGCTAATGATTATGATGACAACGAGGATGCTGATGATGAGAAGGATGTTGCTGATGCTGTTGGTGATTGTGATGATGTTTAGATGCGTATGATGATGACGATGATGATGCTGCTGATGACGATGATGGTGTGCGCATGGTGATCACGACGACAATGACGATGATGATGATTCTGATGATGTTGA